CCCTTTACTCAACAACACGCTATATTTTTTCTGTGTTTTTTTGTGTCCACAAACGTGAATAGCAACCGATGTTCGAGAATCCGATGGGCGGCGGTGTTTCAGAGTTCTTAGCGTATGCGGCTAATTTCACCATCGGCGGTGCAAGCTTCTACTTCCTTGTCGATTCAGGTATGGTACACCTACCAATGTATATGCACCACACATTTGGGTATCAATTTTAGGCATACTAATGTATCTTCCTGCGTTTGTAGCGATATAAAGTCCTTGCCCATACAAGCGCAAGTAGTTACCCTTGGTTCCAAGATTAACATGCCACTCCTCATCTCCGCGTGCCGACATCTCTGCTCTATTTTTAGGTTCGGCAGATCTGCTCGTTACCGCCGTCGGTTGTACCAACCACCGCACGGGCGACTGTACAGGCCCTGATTTCGAGCCCATCTCACCCTCACTTGGCCAATGTACCGCTACTAGCTACTATGAGAACACCGGGACGGCCACGTCACACCTGGGTGAAGTAGATTGCTATGGAACTGCCGATAGTGCGACGTATCTGCAGTACGATGTGTACACAGATGCGGTGGTGTTCAGTAATGCCACAGCCGTCACTCAGGTGTGTGGACTATGGCGATATATATATATATTTATATGTATATATGTATATATATATATATATATATATATATGTGCATATGTGGTATGTGGGTATATTTATATATATATATATATATAGTACTGAAGTTTCTTTTTAGATGTCAGAATGGTCTAAAAATGAATATATTGATAGATTGATTCTCGTTCATTGTCTTTTCATCTGAATCATATATCTCAAGAAGATACGAGCACACACGTGTATGGCTGTATTTGTATGTGCATGTCGATTTCCGCCCATGATTACGTTGGGGTATAGGTGTTCACAATGGCAGAACCACGCAAATTTTGCATCAACGCCTATATTTATGCATATAGATAGCGTATATCCATTTGAAATTTTCTGTGTGCTTGTGGAAGTGCGATAGTGGAGGAATCCAGGAGATGTCCAAACCTGTAGCAAACCAACAAACTCATATATACCTATAAGTCTATATGTACACCTCTATTTATCAAGACACACTTTGAGTGTCTATCCCTAAAGCTATACGAATGCAATGATCGAAACATACCTACGTATCCCTACCAAGCTTCTTCGGGCTCTATACATTGGGCGCTTATATCACCCGAAAATGAAGAACTTACGTATCAATCCACATTCCTTCTATATTTTGTTCCAGGCTCTAGGAAGCATTACGGCATCGACTCCAGACTTCTTCATCGCCCCTCAAGTGGCTGGGATCATTGGGATGGCTTATCCCGGGCAGTCGACTATCTATGGACTCAACAAAGATTACACCCCGTACCTAAACACACTTACTAATGAGAAGGTGTGGGAGATGGTGTTTGTATATATATATATATATATGTGTGTGTGTATGTATGTATGTATGTATGTATGTATGTACATATGTATGTCAGTATATATATATATATATATATATGAAGTTTTAAGTGTTTGAAGTTTTTGATCTGCTACCCAGCTGCCTGACTGACCATACGCACACAACCCACTTTCACAGGTGATAAGTACTGCAGCATTTGCAATGTGCTTCAACGGACAGGTTGACGGAGGTCCAGCCGGGGGTCTGTTGGTTCTAGGCGGGGGCATAATCAGTGGCCTTACCTACGTAGACGTAGTTAATCAGTGGTGGTACGCCGTCGCACTGTCCTGTAAGTAGTCTTAAACGGATTTTGGTTTAGGTTGCGGGAGTTACCACTGGAATTACCTACGTGGACATAGGAAATCAGTGGTAATACGCAGTCCTAATGGGCTGTGGGTAGTCACTTGGTTCGGATCACATATCAGGTTTTCGGATATAGAATGGCCATGTATTTGAGTTTATCGCTTTCATTGTTCATCCTCAAAGTACCATGGCATCACATTGTCTATTTATTTTTCTGGTTTGCATGCTACCGTGGTGAATACCTTTTTGCTGCAATCCGTCTCCTGCTTCTCGGCAAGTGTACAGTCTCTGGTCGTACGTACGTGAACGTTGTTAGTCATTGTTAGTGTGCCACTGTGTTGACCTGTTAAGGTATCCATGAAAATCGGTTGTGCTTTTCATTTATTTTTCTGTTTGTTTAGCGTTAAATTTGTTTTTGTCCTCGCGATTTATTTTTACTCTTCTGGGCGGGGACATACGCACTGGTTGTGATTTGACCTGCGTGCAAGTGATGACTGAGGTACCTTTGGGACAATTCATCGGTGTGTTTAGGTTATCTGTGTGTTAGGCACAGGAGTGTGAATCGAGACATATACAGGTAGTAAACCAATCAAATCCAGGTTGGAATGGTCAGTGTTGAAATCGAGAACGCGTGAATGCATTTAGTTCATCGTTAGTGGCGCCCTGCACTGCTGAACTCTCTGTAGTTAGTTGCAATTCCAATTGACTGCTACGATCCCTCTCTATACACTTGTGCAGCCATGACTGTGGCAGGAACAGATGTAGGTCTGCCATCGGAGGGTTTCACTATTGTGGATTCGGGTACTTCCGGTCTGGTCCTCACAGATACCATGTACACCGCTTTCAACACGGCCCTGGTATGTTCGTACGAGAAATAAACATTCTTGTATATATATATATGTATATATATATATGTATATGTATACACACATATATATATATATATATATGTATGTATACATCTACATATACATCTGTATATGTATATATATATATATAATGTGTGTGTGCTTGCAATGGGCTTGAATTGTAGCAGGCGCATAGTTGTTTTGTTTGTCGGTTTGTGGTCGTGATCGTATTTGTCTTCGTGTTCACAGTCTTGGTACTTGTGTACCGTACAGCCGCCTATACAGCACAAGTAACACTCTGAACCCGCCTAGTTGTGCCAAATTTCTATTCCATTAATACCTTTACTTCATCGATTAACAGTATGCAATTCACTCAGAGACAAGGCTCAATCGCTTTTGAGAATGTATCAATGGCCTATGTACAGCCTACACTGCAATACATAGATAAGTTTTGAACTTCACGATATACAAATGTGTTCCAGGTAGAAATAAGTCAGTCGCACTCAACCTTATATCCGTACAATGCCGCCCACTTAGGTCTATGTACAGGTCTATGTAGGCGAGAAACTAAAGTCCAACGACTATTAAACTTACTTTTAGAGTTTAGAGCTTGAGGGTTTTGGGGTGTCTGAAACCCTGCTCATACTTACCCATCGTACTTCACACCCCGTTAATCTATCCATCCTTGCCCCACACAGTGCACCTTCGCCGAAGAAAACGGTATCAACGGCCTGTGTGTCGACAACTCAGTGGAATCGACGGTGCAACTAACCACAGATGAACTCGCCAGCCTGCCACCCGTTCTTGTGTCGCTCGCGGACAACTATGTGTACAGCATCAACAGCTCCTCGTACCTCAAGAGCCAGGGGGGAAATAGCTACTTGTACCTAATCCAACAGTCCGGTGTCGAGGTGTGTGTGTGTGTGCATGTCTGTATGTGTATATAGTATACTTTACTTGTTTGAGGATATGTGTACGTGTTGGTGGTTTCGTAGTGTCTGTATCGGTGCTGGTATATCCATCCCTATAGCCTCCCACCCGTTGTTGTGTCTTTAGCGGAACTATGTTCATAGCATCAACAACACTTCCCAGTACTTTTAAGACTGGGGTATAATAACTACATATATATGATTCTCAACCCTTCACATTGACTCCACCCCTCCTCCTTTTCCCGCCCGATCTATAAATAGAATGGGCAGAAAGATAGTGCCAGCGTGATTCTCGGTGATGTGTATCTACAGGGTCAATGGGTGTACTTTGATCAGCAGAACAACCGGTTAGGCCTCGCAGCGGTATGTCATCTCACAAGCACTCGTCGCCATGTACCTGGATTGGCGTGAATATGCCATACATACTTGGTGATATATACATATATATATATATATATATATATATATGTATGTATGTATGTATATATAGTCATATTTATATTAATATATATGTTTATGTATCTGTATTTATATATATGTGTGTGTATGTGTATGTCAACGTATATATATATATATATATAGTTGTATATACACAGATATATCAGATAAATATAGATATTGGTATAGATATATATATGTATGTATGTATGTTTATGGATATTTATTTGTATATATATCTATATCTATATATATATATATAAATCCGAGCGTCTATTTGCAAAAACTTTGGCTTCTAGCACATTTGCAACCATAGGCGACTGGCCCATTGTGAACTTGTAAGAACAATTTAGTGTATGTATGTATTTATATATATATATGTATACATATATATATATATATATATCTATTTTGTGTTCATTGTATGTTTTTTGTATGTGTGTATGTATATATGTATGTAGGTAAGTGTATATGTATGAGTATATGTATGTATGTATATATACATACGTATATGTGTGTATTTATGTGTGTGTGTGCGTGCGCATGTGTATGCATATTGTATTGGTATTAGGTATGTACATCATTCGCTAAATCCATACGCGAGATCGGATACCTTGTGGGTATCATGGCATTGCGAGATGGAGAGAGTGTACAACAAGGCACTCGTATATTCTCCCCGATAGATTTTTTTGGTAGGCACAAAGTTTGTGCAGATAACACATGCATTTAATTTATTGGCTCGTATTTCTAATTTACATGCTTTCCATCCTTAACCCATGAGATAATACACGTATACAAGGTATAGGCTCGTAGTTCTAACATGCGTCCTGTCCTTAATCCGCACAGGTGAGCAATTGCAACCAGAACTACACATCCAGTGCACTCAGCATACACACCCCCTCCAAACCGGTGGTGGCCCTGAGCGCTACGCTGGTGGCAATCATCACGTGGTTATTCTAAGTAGACGAGCCTATCCTAGAGTGGTTGTAGCACGCCTCACTGAACTAGGCATGTCTTCGATAGGTGTATGGGGTGACATATGACCACGTGGATAGTTGGCGACGATGTGAGCGTTAAGCTTTGAGCTTTCTGATGCACCTGTATACGTCGAAGCCAGCTGTGTGTAGTGGTAGTTGCAAGTGGTATATGCTTCATGTTTGTTGAAAACCCTAAAACAAGTTGTTGCTATCCCAACCCACCAAGGTGCCGTTGAAATATGACTGTATTTTGGTACTGCTGTGTCCCATATCGCATACTAGCAGTATCATCGGACCCAAACGATAACAATACGTACCATTTGGAAATAAACTATAAGTGTTCCTGAACAATGCTGTTGCTTACAGGAGAAACAAAGGGATGAGCCTACAACCGTGGACACGCTTTCAAGTTTCTTTCTTTCTTTATTCTTGTTTGTTCTTGATGGTCGTCTAGTACCAACCCATTTCTCACGGGCTGATTTCAGAGGGGATTATCCGCTGCATAGGTATAGCACGCGATTGTTAATATTGGGCACGCCTACAAGGCAATGCGATTCAGTGTACGTGTCAGTTGCACCACGATGGAATATATATATATATATATATTATTCATACATAAATATATATTATACGTATACAGATATATATAGTTGATGAGTGCTAAACCCATTTGTAGTGAGTTAACGACTTCGTCACAGATGGAATCGAGTGTGTTTGGTTGTCGCTAGTGTTGGGAAATATTATTTACTACAGCGGGGTGAAACCTGAATAGTTGCACATGAACAGCAGCTGATATGCCTGACCAGCTTGGTGTCCATGCAACAGTACTGTGCCTATCCAACAGTGCTATGTTCATCGCATTTGCTCACAACATCCAGCAATTGCTGCATGTCGACGATGTGTATGCACAGCTGAGGCGACGTTCTGATTGGCTGATTATAAATAGACGAGCTCTGCACCCTGCGGCCTGCTTGTATAGGCCTATTCATATATCAGTGGGAGTTACCTCATGTCGGCAGATGCAGCATTTTTGTAACTACCCCCCCCCTTCCCTGGGAATACGCGTGGTTAATGCCGGCTATCGATTGGCTGTCTATAAACTGTCTTATCTATATATCAGTGCGAGATGCCTCGGTACGGCCCATATTGTCCAGCAAGTCCTTCATAACGACTGTGAACTGCTTTCGGCCGATGGCAACCTTAGCACCAAACAATTGGTGTATCTGTGTGTGAGTCAATCTGATGTCAAAGCAGTTCCTCATACCACTCTTCAACTCCTCTCTGGACACTTCGCCGTCCTTGTTCTCGTCAAAGGCGCTGTGGTGTCGATTAAATGGCGGAAGGTTTAGCATGGGTTGTGTTATAGATCAACTAGGGGAAGGTTTAGTATGGGCTGTGGTGTCGATTAAATCCGGAAGGTTTAGTATGGTTTGTGGTATAGATCAACTAGGGGAAGGTTTAGTATGGTTTGTGGTGTCGATTAAATACGGAAGGTTTAGTATGGTTTGTGGTGTCGATTAAATGGCGGAAGGTTTAGTATGGTTTGTGGTACAGATCAACTAGGGGAAGGTTTAGTATGGGTTGTGATATTGATCAAACAGGGAAGGTTTAGTATGGGTTGTGGTATAGATCAATTAGGGCAAGGTTCAGTATGGGTTGTGATATAGATCAATTAGGGGAAGGTTTCATATAGTTTGGCATTGGAAGCGTGAGCGGGGAACCCTAATATCTAGATACATGACGGATTGTTGCATGCACGGTGCTGTAGAGCAGATAGGGGAAGATTTAGTACAGTCTGGCGCTTCAAGCGTTTGTTATACTTGCGAGAGGTCATTGTTCCGTATTCGCGACACGGAGAGACAATTGAAGTGGGCACAGCCTTTAAAGCACATGAACAGACATGAATCCACAAAGCACGTATACCCTAAAGACACTGATTTTCCCATCAACTGGTAGCACCGTAATTGAACTGTACAATAAAAGTAGGTTAACTGCGGACGAGACTACCATGCCTATACATTGGCAGAGATTGATATACATTGTAATTCACTAACATCTCACAGCTGGTAGCACCGTAATTAAATCGTACGTCAGTTAACTGACTGAATATAAAAAGGAAAGGGAACACCATTAACTTGCCCACGATGACAAATTGCCTGTACATTACTAGCAAGACCTCTTGGTACGTAACATAGCAGACAACAAATCACAATACCGTACACTGATAAGCTCCCAAAATACCCACAATAACAAACGATAAATTGTTATCGCACAAGACGTACTTGAACATTTCCTCCGGATTCCATTTGTGTACGTTAATTGATTTGCCCAACTTGAATCGCCGGAACGAGTTACCAGTGAAGCGGCGAGAAGACAGGTAGTAATTCTCCTCCATCTCCTCGACCATTTTCCTGTGCAAGGCACCAGTAGTGTGAATATAATGAATCCATAAACAGGTTTAGATATACAAAATCATATTCATATGCATTTATATATATATATATATATATATATATATATATATATATATATA